CATACATTCACCAAATATCTACATTTAAGGAAATCAGGAATCAAACTTTCATTCTATGTACCAAGAATTAGTTTGGTGTACAAAAATATCCAAACATTGCTTAAAGAAGCATCTGGTGTGAAAAGGAGAGGAGTATGAATGTAAAACAAATAAACTATATGATTAACTTCAGAAATGAGAAAAGGGAGATCTGAACATTGGCAGATAATAAGGCACTAGTTATAGCAGCGGTTCTCAACCTATGGATCGCGACCCCATTTGGGGTCGATCGACCATTTCACAGGGGTCGCCAAGCAAGGCTGTCTGCCATTTTTTCGCCCTTTTCCGGCGGGTGCCTTACCTCCCTTGGGCTGAGCCAGCTGGTGGTCGGCCTGCTCCGTCTCTGCCGCTTGCCAGCTACGCCTCGGCCAGCGCAGGGGGCGGAACCATGCATGCGTGGCACTCCCGGGCAGGGAAAGTCCTTGACGTACGACCGGTTGGGTAGTCCTCGACTTATGACTGGTTTAGTCCTCGATTTACGACCGGTTTAGTCCTCGACTTACGACCGGTTGGGGGTCGCAGCATTAAAAAGGTTGAGAACCACTGAGTTAGAGCCATTGATATAATACAATGAATACTATAAATCAATGGAAGTTGGAAACATGGTTTTTGTTGTTTATTTTTTAAAATGGGATTCAAGCAACATTAAGTTGGCCTCTAGATCAGAGATCCTAGTTTCCATACAATAGCATCAGCATGCTTGAGGTAAAATTGGATTGTGGCATACTAGCCAAAATGTGGCAAAACAGACCAATATACATTTTAATGTTAGTGGGGAATGCTGCTAGTTAAACCTGGTAACTAGTCTGCTCCTTCTCTTTACTAAGATAGAGACCAGCCTCAATTCATCAAAGTCATGATGGGAGTGGAGGTCAATATCCATGAACTTATCCAGTAATGGGCAGGCATATAGAAAATTTTGACCTGGAATATTAAGAGGAGTAAACAATAGAATTTGAATTAATGAATGAATGTTGGGGGAGAGGAAAAAGTTAGGGTTTTGTTTTATCATTTTACTAACAGACTTTAATTCATTTTGCTTAGCATTTCTTAGCCTCTCCCTGCATTTTTGTATGATACTGCTTATCCACAAAAGAAATAACATAGTATTTATGATGTTTTATAGTTTTGTACTTCTTTGTTTTTATTGCAGGGGAAACAAAGCCGAAACCCAAGTAAGTAAATATACCTGAAGTTACCATAAATACATTAAAATGTAATATGCTTCTAGACATTTTTGTCATACAATTGCCCAACCACATTCAATGAATTTTATAGACTTAGATGAGATGCCATTACCTCTCATGTATAACTTGCCCATGTTTTCCCATTGGTTCTTTTATCTTTTTTCCCTCCTTTCATAAAAATGTTTAAAAAGCAAAAGATGGAAAGATCTTTTGACACTGGAGCTGTTGTCTTCGGTGCACTTTTTGTCTACTGGCAGCAGGTTTTCCATTCTATAGATAACATTTTGAAGAAATAATGATTCACAAGAAGGTTGCAGTGACTATTTATGTGGCTATTTATGCAGCCACATGCCACAGCAAATCACAATTCTGGGAACACCTAATATCATGTGGAACAGCCAGACAAGGACACCCCCAGATCAATGCATGTAGGACAACTAACATAGCAGCGAATCATTGCTCCTCAGGGTATTGCTGGACTTGCATAAAGAAAATAGTTGGAGAGATGGTTTCTAAGGGTTGGTTGTTTAATTAATTCTCCTCTTAACACTGTACCATAGGCAAAGAACAAGACCCAGGCAAAAGCAGAATGGAGATATAAACACAATAACTGAAGTAGGGAGCTATAAATATCAGCTGTTCTGTCCCTGCTGTCTCTTAACCTGTTTTCTCTTAGCTGCGTGTCATTCTGATGCTTTAATTTGTCCTATTTAGCATAGATTGCCCCATTTATAGTATAGCTGCAACCAATCCATTTCACAGTCCTTTAGACCTGAAATCCTCTGGTGATTAACTAAGCTTTGGAGCAACCTGATACAAGGAGATCCCAGAGTGCTCTGCACGCAGCAGCTGTCTTGGGATCCTCCATTATCGAGATGTCATTGCAGGATCAACAGCTGTCTGCACCAGCTAAGCTACAAAGCCTTTTTAGCTTCATATTCTGTACACTTTCTTGCAGTCTTGCAATACTTTTATCATCTCATCTAATTTTTGCTACAAATGGCAGGCCCTTCATTTGCATTGTCAATATATCTGTGAGATAATAATAATAATAATAATAATAATAATAATAATAATAATAATAATAATAATAATAATAATAATAATAATAGTAGTAGTAGTAGTAGTAGTAGTAGTAGTAATAATAATAATAATAATAATAATAATAATAATAATAATAATAATAATAATAATAATAATAATAATAATAATAAAGTTGGAAGGGACCTTGGAGGTCATCTAGTCCAACCCCCTGCTCAGGCAGGAAACCCTATATCATTTCAGACAAATGGCTGTCCAGTCTCTTCTTAAAAACTTCCAGTGTTGGAGCATTTACCACTTCTGGAGGCAGGTTGTTCCACTGGTTAATTGTTCTAACTGTCAGGAAGTTTCTCCTTAGTTCTAGGTTGCTTCTCTCCTTGCTTAGTTTCCATCCGTTGCTTCTTGTCCTGCCTTCAGGTGCTTTGGAAAATAGCTTGACTCTCTCTTCTTTATGGCAGCCCCTGAGATATTGGAACACTGCTATCATGTCCCCCCTCGTCCTTCTCTTCATTAAATTAGACATACCCAATTCCAGCAACCGTTCCTTATATGTTTTAGCCTCCAGACCTCTAATCATCTTTGTTGCTCTTCTCTGTACTCTTTCTAGATAGACTTTAGATCAAATTAATGGAATGATGTGAATTCCATCCCCTAAGGTCAGGATATCAACTTTCCCTCCATGCTTGTTTTTTATTCTCTCTAGTCATCAGATGAGTCTCTTATTCCTATAGCCAGGGTTCTGGTTGCAGCTGGATTTCAGAAGTTTGATAAATGCTCAGGCCAGCAAGTTTCTATTTTTAAAAATGCATAGATAGAGGTATTTTATTAGGAGGAATTATTAGGAATTGTTCTGATATAAATAAAAACTGAGACTAAATTTGAATTACATTTACCTTCAATTAAATGATTCTTCATGACTCAGTTCTGTATCAACTTTTCGGATAATGTTGTTTCCTGTACTTTTCAATACCATTGATCTTAAAAAAAAAGAAAATATTTTTGTATACCAATGTTTTATTACATAAAAGCTAACAACTAAAAACCAAAACTGGATGCATTCTTTTGTTGTTCTATTTTCTTGTTTGTATTATTTTATACAATTTGGGAAATGTATACATTTTATTTTCAATAAAATTACATAGGATTACATTGCTAATAAAACTTTTAAACCCTTTAAACCCCTTTAAACCCCCAGTGTTTCTCAACCTTGACAATTTTAAGGCATGTGGACTTCAACTCCCAGAATTCCACAGCCAACAAACAAAGTTCATAATAGAAAATACACGATCGCTTTAGGTGGTTCAGTGTTATCTGGAAATTATCTAGTATTTTTTAAAATGTCAATTACAGAAGGGATAAGACAGATGGAAAGCAGTTGTGGCTTGCAGCCTTAGATGATACCCTCACAAGGATAGTATTCTGATGCCAGATATGAAGTTATTACAGCTGCTCAATAGTTCATCTAAATTGGGTAAAGAGAAATAAAACTGCAATGACAGGTGGAGCCATTGTGACGTTCCACTTGATGCTTCCTCCCCTCCCCCCAAAAAACTTAAATTAGAATTACAGTGACATAGGCAATCAGTTTAAATAAACAGCCACAGTAATGAAATGGTGACCATAAACATTATTTAAATACAGTAATAAAATAAAATATCCTTGGAGAGCTCTGAGACCAGCCACCATACTTTTAGTCTTTTTCTAGATTTGCATTGTAGAAAAGATGAGTTTTATTCCTTTAACATTCTAAATGCGATACTGGGATATTTTAGTTACAGACACATTTTGTTAAAATGTAAGAAAATGCCCTTTAAATGGCACTATGCAATTATTTTTTCACAGCTAAAGAAGGATGTTATTTTTTTAAAAAAATCAGTAAATACAACAGGGATTTTAAGAAGCAATGCAGTTACTATCAATTTGGTAACTTTTAATCATTTTTGTTTACAAAAAGAGCTGTCAGTGTCATCCAGTTAGATAAACATCATGACCTGAACTGTTTCATTTAGGTTATAGTTAAGAGAATGATATAATTGAAGCAGTGGTGGGATTCAGCCAGTTCGCACCACTTCAGCAGAACCGGTAGCTAATTTTTTGTTGCCCAAGGCAAGAATGGACTTCCAGAAGCGGCATCCACACAGAGAACCGGTTGTTCACATATTTGAATCCCACCACTGAATTGAAGGCTTCTCCAAAATAAAAATAAAAATGAGCTATAACAACAATATGTAGGTTATACAGGTATTCACCTCATGTGCTATTTTCTACATTAAATATTTTCTTACCTGCAAAAGTGACAATTAATGCATTTTTATGTGCAGTTTGCACAATATAAAAACAATATTACAATGTGTGAGTTCTACCTATATTGTCTTGGAGAAATTTACCTCAATTTGGAGAAAAAACTCCTCATAACCAAAGGGATGAAATTTGGCCCAGTGATGTGAGAAATACAACCAAATCAATGAACTCTCAGGTATGTAGAAGGAGATGGAGTGAATTCAAAATCAGGTATTGTATTATCCGTATTCTACTCTGTGTTTTTCTCTAATTTCAGGTTGTTCACTCCTAATCTGGTCCCTCCAAAGATCCCTGATGGAGAGAGAGTAGACTTTGATGTGAGTATTCCTATCCCAGTGCCTTAGTCCAGACTAGTTCTTTCTTACCATTATAAGTCTTCCTGCATTTGAGAGAATAGTGTCAAATCTAGCTCATGCTTTTGTTGCCCTGCAGGATATTCACCGGAAGCGAATGGAAAAAGATCTGAATGAACTACAAACTCTAATTGAGGCTCATTTTGAGAACCGAAAGAAGGAAGAAGAAGAGCTGATATTCCTCAAGGACAGAATCGTATGACAGAATTTCATACTTTTTATCTAGACCCTCTTTATGGTCAGATCCAATTCTCCCAACCCTTTTACAAATGATTTAACTGTTTTATCAAAGTCACTGATTTTACAATTGTTAATGCTTAGCATCAAGACTGGGTTTATTGACAGCTTGTGAATCTATGATTATAACAATATGTAATTCTAGGCAACACTACTCAATTCTTCTTAATAGGGAAGGTTTGGAAACTGGACCACACAAGTGGCAGGCAAACATGCGAGTACGCAAAACTTCATTTGTGCAAGTGTGGGCATGCACGTGAAATCATCCTCCTTCCGCCACCGCCACTACCACTGCCGGTCCATGGAGCCAGGAAGGTTGGGGACTGCTGTATTAAAGGGGAAAGAAAATTGCAGATCTTTATTGCTAAAGCAATTCTATGCATTTCTAGTAAGAAATAATATTCATAGAACAATTTAAGTGCATTCAGGATAATAGTTATGATATCTCATCTTTATTGTTAGGAGAAATGATTTGCAATTAATTTCTTGATTTACGGACAACAATAACTTCTATGCCACTTCAGTTGAACTAATGTAATTGTAGTTCAAGCGTCAACAGTTCTTGTCCCTTCTCCATTGACAGCATCAAATTTTAACATATATCCTAAATGATTTGGGCAACTAGCCTTTGTTCAGGAACATATATTAAAAATTAAGCTTTCTTTATATAGGAGCAGCGGCGAGCTGAACGAGCTGAACAACAACGGATCCGTAGTGAGCGAGAGAAGGAACGCCAGGCCCGTCTGGCTGTGAGTCTATCCAACATTTATGGTGTACTTTCCTGAGTGTTACTAGTGGAAGATGCCCCACTTCCTTTTCTCACTCATCGGTCAATAATCATCAATAATAACAGTCAAAACAAACATTCTGGGTTAATGCCTAATATTCCGTTCACATTGACTTGTCAAAAACATAATTCAATTTTTTTCACATTAAAGTTTAACCCAATATCAAGCTGAACTGTTATAGGAGGTGACCATTGGCTTTAATTAAATTATTGTCTCATAGTTAAGGATATGATTAAATACCAAATGATACACTATTTGATTTTTTTTAATTCAGAGGACAAGATTGTGCTAGATGTCCGACAATATAAATTGCTATATTTATAAATATAAGTGCTAAATTTCATCAATTAATAATAATTGACCAATTATTGTCTATAGCTGCAAATATTATACTGTAACTGATACCTTTTGCATTATTGAAAATACATGACAATTCTTGTCCCATTTATACATTTATATTTGGTTTTGTAAGAGTTCTGTACATTCAGTCTGATCCTTTAATTTTTGTCTTGGAACTGGAATCTCAGACCCAATGCTATTCAATTCATAGAGAAAAGCCATTGTAACTATTAAATCTTTTTCTAATTGTCTTTTGGTGCAGTTGAACAACTTAAACAAGAATTAATTCAGAATAATCAGTGTTCTGGCTAACTTTCTGGCAAGAATTAGATTGCATTTATCTGCTATCATTTTCTTAGTGGCATCTACTGGATACACATTTACCTTTACCATACATTTTCTATCCTTCTGAAATTTATGTCTCCTTTCTTGGTAGGAAGAAAGAGCTCGAAAAGAGGAAGAGGAAGCTAGAAAGCGGGCTGAAGAGGATGAGAGGAAGAAAAAAGCTTTCTCCAACATGCTTCATTTTGGAGGCTACCTTCAGAAGGTAGGTCTGTGACTGTTGTTAACAGGTGACTGCATTGCAAAAAAAAAGGTTGTATAAACTGCGTATATATTAAATGGATGGATATACATTTCACAAATATCTATCATTTAAATAGAAATGCATTATATCTCAGTATAAGGTGATGCAATAAAGTCTGAACCTGTTCCATTTGCACTCTGCATTCTAACTATCCAGTTTCTAACTACAAATTCAAAGCCTCTCCTCCCCAATTATTTCCTTCTGTTTAAACTTTTGAACTGGATTTGATTTGCCTGGTCCTTCAAACAAAGGAAGTGCTTGGAGGAACTGCTTCACTGTCAAACAAGTGAAGGCTGAATTCACGGATTTTGAACTCAGCATCTTCCCTCTGCTCTTGGAAATAGTTGCACTAATGTATAAAAATAATGTCATGCTTGCAATGCTCTTTGAAACTCTTTAGTTTTAATCCACATACATTTTGCCCGTGAAATGGCCATTTAATGCGCATGTGAATTCTCAGATTCACCACTGGAGAAAAGCAATTTGATTGACCTTGAGACCCTCTGATGTCACTCATGAATTGATTTCTTTAGACCGAGAAGAAAGGTGGGAAAAAACAAACAGAACGGGAAAAGAAGAAAAAGATCCTTGCTGAACGCCGTAAACCCCTTAATATTGATCATTTGAATGAAGACAAATTGAGGTGAGATGGGAGCTCATTCCTTGGTCAGAAGACATTGCTGGGAGGGTCTTCTTTTCTTCAGGAGTGGAAAGCAAGAAATGAGATGAAAACTGGATTTTACTTGCTATTTCTTCTATATTATGTATGGCCAGGGACAAAGCAAATGTAGCCTAATTTCTGTCACTAATGTCACTGTCTCAGAGGATGGCATGATCCTGTTACAACCCAAAAGGAGTTGATTACTGAACCATTTTCTAGCCACAAAATAATAGTAACTGTAAATTCTATTGGTTATATTCATGCAGCCCAAGAAGTTTTGCATGGCTGGAGAATATTGGGGAACAAGTGGTATAAGAAATATTCTAGAGGCACAATAAAGTAAATATACACTCAGTCCCTGAAAAGGGGTGAGGAACTCATGGTCTTCCAGAACCTGGTTAACTGCAGTGTGGCAAATGGTGATACCATGACATGTAACTCTAATGTGGGCAAAGTACAAAGCCAAGCTGGTGTTAAAACGTTAACATATATTAGAGTTCCCTAAGCAAATGGCAGTAGCCAAACAACTTTATTAAAACCAAAGTTGTTTCGATACTGCTGAATAAGATCAAACCTTCTTAGTATTTAGATGGAGATCATCATGGAAGTCCAGTGCAGAGTTGTAGACTGGGAAGTAAAAAAAATCTGGAAGAAGGCAGTAGCAAACTAATTCTGTGTAGTTGCCAGGAAAACAATATGGATGTGTTCATAAAGTCCTCCAGAAGTCAAGCTCAAGTCAAGAGACTCTTTAATTTTTTTTAAGTCAGTGTTAGCATTTACTAATGTTTTCATATTGTGTAATTTATCAGTGTTTTGACATGTTTACAGTTCTTTAGACAGAATTGCCAGTTTGACTGCCCACCATTTGCCTTAAGTGATACCAGCAGGATTATATCTTAAATAGGTGCTACATAATTGTAATGATGATTGCTCGGGCATCCGTCCGAAGAATGTACGGTATTGCTGGCATCTGAGCTAAAAAGAAAAAGACCACTAGAGGGTGCAAAGATCACACAGAAAAAATACACAACTTCAAGAGACTGGTTGAGAGTTTTAGAAAAATTTTGTCCTGTACAGAAATGATGATGGAGAGATTCTTATTTTTCTCTCTCTTTGTTCTTTTCCCTATTTTTGTTTGTTTGTTTTAGTTTCCTTTCCATGATAATTAAAGGGAGGGAATAATTATAACCATCCCAAAGAGGTAGTACAAATTAGTCTACTACTTGGAAATTGCGTCAGAGCTCAAGATTTAAAAGGACTTTGTATGAATTTCTTCTACCATTTTTTTTATGGTTTACATGGGCTTTTTTGGAGTTGTAATTTCCAGAGCTTTGAAGGAGCCAGATGTGTAAGTTGATGAAAAAGGAGCAAGAGCGAACTAATGTCAGGTTGGCCTTTTATATCCGGTATTGCACCAGGAAATGTGAAGAGGCACATGCTTCTTGTAAGGTTATCCCAAAGGACAACAGAATTGTAACTTTAGATACGACTATACTGGTTTGTTCAGGCTGAACAGAAGGCTGAATTCTGGAGAATCAGTCAGCATATGAACTTCATTAAATTAGAATGCAACTCAATCTCCATCTTCCCTTCTGTTATGATGAATGGTCACATTGGCTATAGTTCAGGCATCAGATTGGGAAAGGCTGCTCTAGACCAACATGCTTCCATTACATATTTAACTATATGCATACACATGACAAGTACTTTTATTAATATCATGTATTCTCAAATCAGGGAAAAGGCGAAGGAACTGTGGCAGAGCATTCATGATCTTGAGGCTGAGAAGTTTGATTTACAGGAAAAGTTCAAAAGGCAGAAATACGAGGTAAGTCTAAACACCATTATCAATTTCTTTTCAGCTCTGGATTCTGTATAGGATAATCAAATGTTACTTCTTACTAAGGCTGAGTGAAATTAAAGGACAGATATTGGATCTGTTAGAAGATTGGTAGAATTTTTTATTTTTTGAGAACATTTTCATAATGTCAACATAGCATGCATTATTAAAAGGTCTGTAGTCATGCATAGCCTACAATGCTGTTAACAATGTACAAATTCTACAGGACACAAATACAAGCTATGCAACCACAAAAGTTATCGTGGGATATTTATCTGCCCAAAGAAGCTACAAACAGAATTCTTCCATTTGAGCTGGAAATGGGCTGTTAGTAAACGATTGCGGACATCTCAATAAAACTTGCCATACAGCTGAGCCCAGGCCTGTGAATCAGTACTGTCATTTGTACAGGGGCAAAAGTTTTTATAACTGTTTTTGAAACCACAAAGCAATCCACCCAGAAGTAGACAAAGTTTCCATTTCTCTCTGTAATTATCACCATAGAGCTAAATGGGAAAATAGTTATTCTTTTAATTACATCATCCCTAATTGGCTGGGATCACCTGTGCAACTGATGCAGGAAGAGTAAGAATTGCTTTTATGCTCAATTAGCTTCCTTTGCTTTGAGGAATATTATTGTGTCATGCCTTCATGAAATACTGTTAAGGACAAAATCCTTCATTGGCTTGTATTACTCACATTTGTGTGATGAAGAAGTATCAACCAGGAAGTGGGTGTACTGAAGCAGAATGGATTGAAGGGATCATGTTGATGATTGATCTTAGAAAAAGTTGAATATTTTCCTCATTTGGGTGTTCTAATAATATTTTCTTTGCACTGAACTCACTACTTTCACTCTGAAAATGAAAATGGACAAGCTTTCAACACAACCTTGGTATTTGCACTTTTTCCCTTTATTTTCACTGCAAAATGACCTATTTTTCCCCCAAACAAGAACAGACAGGTATGAGTAATCTGATGTGATTCATCTGAATGACAATCTAGATTTAGCTCCATTTGGAAACAACATCATAAATCAGCCATTTACATGAGTGAAGTTACTTCTGTGTTTCAAGTGGATGCAGTTTAATAGGTGAAAAAAATAGTTTAAACTTGCTTCCCCCAGCCTGAAGAGTTTTATTTGTGCTTGGACTACAATTGCCAGAATTTCTCATTTGCAAGGGGAATTCTAAGTTTTGTATTCCCAATGTATGTGGGCACACTGGGTTAGCCAAGTATATTTTGAGCATAGGAATATGAGAAAGACCTTGAGAAATGGGGTCAGGAAATGCTGCCTAGATGATGGTCAGATAAGAGAGGGCATAGCTTGTCCTGGGTAATGGGCAGGGAAAGAGGCTGAGAAGAAACTGTCCCTAGCTTCTCAGGCTGTAAAGGTGACAGTAGGAGATTTGTACCTTCAGACTTGCAAAATGGATGCCAGCTTTCCCAGGCAGACCAGACAGGAAACAACTTTATTGTAAAGTTCCATTAACAGAATCTTGTAAGTCTGAAGGCCTCTTTTGCAAACGTGAGGTTTCCTAAAAATGTCATAACACTTCTATCTCCTGCATAAATAGATCCACTTTGTCTATATAAGAATTTATATTCAAAAATGAAGTTGCTGTTAACATTTATGATCAGCTGTCTGTCATGGCCCCCTCGGGTCATAACACTATCTTTCTCCTGCTTCTCATAGATATTGGTGTTCTTCAGGTATCATTAACTGAAAATTTAAGATTTATTTCTCAGGATCACCATCTCTGTGTTTCTTTTAATATTTCCTTTGCAAGTGTTTTAATGTTTATAGAAGTAATCAGCTTTTCACTCAGCCTTTGGTGAAGGAGAGTGAAGCCTGTCACTTCATTGCCAATAAAAATTGCTTGCCAATTTTTTTTAATGTTTTATTGTAATTTCCTTGTTTGAGCCATTGAGAATTGGGTGCATACAAGTTTCATAATTTTTTATTAATAGTATTTTCATTTGATATTCACCTACAATATCTGTAATCAAAACAAAAAAGCAATACAAATACAGCGTGGCATAAACCAGTGTTCATATAATCAATATAAATCACTGACAAGTACTGTCCTGAAAAGTTCTTCTAGCTTTATAAAAGCCTTAAAAATATTTAAATATATTAAATATTTAAAGGCCTCTAAAAATCGTATTGTTCAAGATGGAGTAAATTCTAAAGAGTAAGAGCTAGATGCAAGGAAGCTTTTAAATGCAGGGGGGAAGGTATTTTGCCTCTTCTAATAAGAGAAAATTAAGTCATCCTGATTACATAAGTGATCCAAGCCTGCAGGAATATGAATTACGATTGAGTGGCAGTTTTGTGGACATGGAAAGTCAACACCAGCAGTTTAAACTAGTAACACACCCATGTATTTAGCCACTTTAAGAATTGGCAAAAAAAGGGGTGAATTGTGAGAGATCCAAGTCTATAGAGACCATGCTATTCTGGACTTAACCAAAAATACAGAAAGCAGGCTTAGGAAACTAGGGAGCAAATTACAGCAGTAGTTCAGGAGAGACACCAAGATAGGAACTAATTAATGGTTAGAAATGGCTGAATTCTCCAGAGGTTCAGAAGGTGAAAGTTAAAAAAAATGTGGATCCACGAAAGGCTATAATATTCTCCTTTCTCTAACCCTAACCAGATTTCCATACTTACTGCACGCTGTGATGAGTTAAGCAAGTAGTAAGTATAGCCTGTTTCCTGAAAACATCATATATGGTGTGGAGCTATGTATGCAACTCCCTGCTCTCAATAGTGTCCTTCATTGATCCCGTGAAGTCTGGATGCTGTCAATACCTTTTCAGATCGCTTTGTTGTTCTTTGGCATGTTTGCCTGCTTGGTTTGCAATGATTCCTATAATCAAGTTCACATTCTGTGAGGTCAACCAGCCTTTTGTCTGTTCAGCCATTGACAGGGCTATGGACATGAAAAATCTTTTTGAAGCTTTCTTTTCTAATTGAAACTTTCTTTTCTAATTACCAGAAGCAACAACAACTAAGCAGCCTAAGTTAACTGAACAAATATTGTTTTTCCAGTTCTCCCTTTCTTTTACTCCAACCTTTGATCCTTCCCCTAAACTGAAGGATCGAGATTCTTTTCCTTTTGGCAATGAAAGTCTCAAAATCCTTTCCTGTTAATGTCATTATGTATCACAAATTATTAGAAATATTGTAGGTTAACTAACAGTAAAATTGTTTGTTCATAGGCCAATGTTGTATATGTAACTTTAGTTGCTTTGAAATTTCTCCTTTTCGGAATTCTGAAAATTAATTGACATCAGTTATGACTGACTGACATTTCAATTATCCATATAGTAATGCAACTTAGTTTTATGGCATTATTAGCATTCCTCCCACATTTATGAATGTTTTGGGTGAACTCCATGAACAGGACATGTTTGTACAGAGAAAATGCATAATGTTCCAAATGAAGAATATTGTGGAGCTGTGCTAAGAAGAAATACAGTTTCAAGAAATGCAGATCCTGCCACAAATAGCAGAGCTTTGCTTTTAAGCACCTGAAAGGACAGTATTCACATACCATTCGGTTGCTAGGAAAGATTGCAATGGGAACACATCGGAGAAGCAATCTGAAAAATGAAGCCTTCAGAGATATGGCAGAGCAGACAATTGAATTTAAGTCTCCTCTTCATGGAAAGAAGACATATTGCAAGAAAAAGTTACACTGATATAAGGAAAAAGGAAATAGGGACGGAGGTAGATAAACATAAACCAACCAAATATGTTTCTGGTTCTCACTTCTACCAATAAAAATGTTAACCACAACCATTGACCACATCTGCTAGTGCAGCCTGCAGCCTTCCTGACTATTGGGATAATGTTTTCGTCTGTGTTCTTTTCTTGGCTTCATGCTGTGCTGACACAGTAGCTCTCTTGGTTCCTTCTTGAGACATCATCACCTATTTATTTCTCTTCCAGATTAATGTTCTACGGAACCGCATTAGTGATCATCAAAAGGTGTAAGTACTCAGAACATGCAGGTCCACCATGTTTCATGGCATCAAGCGCTCCCAGTAGATTTCCCACATTTATCACTTTTCTTTTCTTTGCACTTCACTTCACTTCACAGATCTTTCTAGCTTTAATGTGTGTTCTGCCTTTCTGTCTTCCTTTTATTTCTTTTCCTGTTCTGCTTCATTCATTTTTACTAATCCTTTGCTCTTCATTTCTTGCCTCTCCTGTTGTAGCAGCCCAAGGCTAATAAATGAAGACAACACCTACTATAACTTGATGTTCAATTGTCTTGAATGAAGCACTTCTACTATTGGGAAGTTATATCATTCACTGTTACTTTTTTTTAAGTACCATTGCTTTTCTGATTTAATTTCTTTGTCACTTATTTCAATTGAGCTTTCTCCCTCTCTCTTCTGTCTATCATATTTATATATTTTGTTTTCCCATTACAATTTTATTCTACATATTGGGTGTAGGAGGGACATTAAATTTTTTATAAAACAGAGTGAGATTAAGAAGAAGGCTCCCACTAGAATGAAGTGTGAGACAATTTTTGGTGGGTCAGCAACAATATCCTTCCTTTGCCATTTGTGGATCTTTCCCAATTATCTGACTAGATCCACCCCCAAACAATTTGGTATTCTCCAGTAAAGTTGGATTATAACTCTCAAAATTCTAAGACATCACAGACATTATAGTCAAATATATCTGAGAAGAGACAAGTTGCTTAAAGTTGTTTTATTCTTTTCCACCCCAATCCAATTTGTAGATCTTATGCCTACCCCCACATTTTTCTCTATTACTTCATGTTCATTCCTAATTTTCCCTCCCCAGCTGTAGTTTTCACTAAGTTTCTTTGCACCTCCTGAAGCCATTTTTCTTTTCACCCCTGAACATCATTACTTTCTCATAGAACCTCAATCTTCTCATTCTTTCAGTGCACCTCCTTACTAAGTGCAAGAAAAATGCATTAATTAAAATGCATTTCTGATACTTATCTATGGCATGGCTTGTTTCAGTTCAGTTTTACCACAGTACATGGTGTCAAAATTCAGTTTTGAAGTGGAAACCATTCCTCACCTATGGATTATATAATTCATTTTCTAAGACCCAGAACATTCTGTGTCTTACTTGATGTGTCAGAACCATTCTATTCAATTATGAACTATCAGCTAACATTGGTATCTTTCCTTTTTCCTTGGCTATGACTATCAGTTCAGAGATGGGGAATAAAGGTACAAAGAGGCTAAAAACTCCTTGGAATTTTATGCATTGATTATAGGAGTCAGTCTATACCAATTGGAAACTCTTGATTATTTTTATCTTTATAGAGAGCCTGCTTCTCTTATTGATGTGAGCAACAAATATAGCTGTTTCTAGACTGGAATAGTTCCAGGTTCCTATTTCAGCCCAGGAGCCCAGAAACAAATGGCATTTTGATTAGGAATGTCTTGATTTCTGGTGGCCTTTTTTGGTTCATCAAATAAAATGTATTAGTTTGACTAATCTACTGTGCATTACTAAATTATATTTCATCTTTTGTCTCCTCATTTGTTTCAGGAAAGGGTAAGTAGCATGTTGTGCCCTTTGATGTGCTGAGCTAGTTTGCATTGTGCAAATACTTAAAAGAATGGCTTTAAACATCACCCTATGTTATTTTTGTTTTCACGGTAAATCCTGATTTCTTGTCTATGTCTATTGATGGCCAATTTAAGATGTGTGCAATGCTTTTATGCTCTGAGTTCTTTTTATTCCTGGATAATCAGGGAAGAGTCAGGGATTTTGTACAAGTATACATTGATATTTCCTCTGCACCTTCCAAATTTGGTAGCATGATCTGAGGATGCTCTGGAGGCTGATAATAAGGAGTCTGGTCTACTATACTGTAGAAAGTGGAGGAAAGGATAATTTTGTCAGGTCAATAGAAGATGAGGTTATAGGGACAGGCAAAATCAAATACTAGAGGCTAATGGTAATCTGGGAAATCTCTGAGAATCTTTTTAGAGTAATAAATATCATTCTTAATCTGCCCTCAAATTTAGAAACAGCTGTTGCCCTTTCAGAGAAATAAGACAAATGTACTGGCTAGTCAGAGAGGGTAAAGAATTAGGCCAAATGTTTATAAATTTCCTAATTGGTTTGTCAAAGCCAATCTAAAGCTGGATGATATCTCTAGCTTGCTTCAGTGACATTGCATTCTTGCTCTTTAAAATGTTTTCCGAATGGCTCATGCATGGCCTATGTCCAAAACACTATGCAATTTTGTTTACAGAACAATCCACTTAAGGGAATGCTCAGTATTAAAATTGGACAGGCAAAATCGCATTTAGTATTCTTTCTCAACCTGGCATTCTAGATATTCAGGACCAATTACCACAATCCCCAGTAGCAAGGACTAAGGTATAGGTGGGCCCCATTTTCAGATCTCAGGGTTACAAAGTTCACTGAGGAGTACGCACATAGGCAAACAATTATTTACATATATCATATCAGTGTTCCTCAAATTTGGCAACTCCAGAATTCCCCAGCCAGCCAAGTTTGAGAAATACTGATTTATATTCCGGTTATTGAAAGATGAGTGAAAATTCATGAAGCTTTCTTTCTCAGCAAAATTTTCTTGTAGAAATCCTATTTGCCAGTGTGGAGAACAAATAATTTTCAACTCATAACACACATCAGGTAGGAAACCAAATCTAAGTGGATCACTTGAGAAAGGAAAACATTGTGGCTTCTTATTCTAATGACCAGCAATCTTAGTTACAGGAAGAAGCAATGTAGTCTTTTTATTTCAGGAAGCAGAGGGAAGGCAATGAGTCCATTCCTACAAGTCAGCTAAATATATTCTTTAGTTGGCTAAAGAAAGCCTGTTTGCTACTTTCCAACTAATAATGTCAGCAATCTTTTTTCAATATGGCCATAGCGATACTGGTGATCAGTTGACTGGTGATAAAAGTTTATTTATTAGGGTTTTTAATCTCATTTTTATTACTTTATTACTTTATAAGTAACTCAAGGCACTAAACATCCTCCTCTGTTTCTCGACAACAACACTTAGTAAGACTTTCCATGGCTGTGTAGAAAGTTAGCAATTGTTTGCTGCAGCATCAATCCAGGAAGAATTAGGGAGAAAAATATTTTACATCTCTACCTCTTTTACACCTTTACTTATTCTTAATAAACTAGAATAATGGGAGATTAATTCCAGTTATTCTCTAATTTTGCTAATATCCCATTTCTTCCCAATTTAATTTGAGAGAAGATAAATATTTTAAAGAGGAGAGCTAATAAAAGATACAGTGTTTCCTCTGGTATCTTTTATCAAAATGAAATTAAATTGTAAGGTTGGTAGTGACCACATAGATAATCTTCATGACAATTTGTTATTTACGAGTTTATATGTTCTTTGTGGTAATAAATAAATATTTTAATAAATGTACAAATAAAGAATTGTAAAGTAGCATGCTTTATGAAAACCATAATTAAAATAAATTAATAATTAGAACACTGCTGATCACTTCATGAACAATTAACCATTTTATTTTACCTCCCTCTAGTCTCCTTTTGCCTTAAACCTGAAAAGAGTTCAACATTGATAATTTTAGCCCTATTTAGCCTTTCAGCCAACTGTTTTATTTGGAGTTTTGTTTTTTATTTGGAGTATCCAAATAAAGTATTGCTTTACTTGGAAGGAACAACCTATGTTCTAACTTATTCAGAAACAAGTGGAAAAATATATTGAAAAGCAAAAATTTACAGGGCAATGTTGATTTGCAAATAAGTATAAATATTCATTACAAGGCCACATTATGTATAATGTCTATTAGCACAAAGCTATTTTAATCTCGTACTCATTTTAAAAGAAAATACTTTTTAGCACACATTCCTCACAGTTTTTAGCAAAAAGAACAGGTTAATCCTTATTGAAGTATTTAACATCTTCTTGTAAAAATAATAATAAATGTAATGTGGAATTGTATTTGGTGAAAATGCTGAGAATTAATTAGCCCCACTTTCCTCATAAAATTATAGTTCCTGAGGCTCATTAGAGGATGAGAATCATCTTGAAGTCTTGGGTATAGTTATGGCTTTTAAGGTGATCCCCCCCCCCCAGGGTTACACTTCCTCAGCACACAACTCTTATCTTATTGTGCATTAAATATGATGTGTTTTTACTGTGCACTTGCCTTGTTCTTCCTTCAGGGGCAATTGTCTGCCCTCTGAGAACCAGATTGGTTAGCCTGGGCTGGGCCACGTCTCTTAAAGGATTCTGTTGAGAGCTCAAGAAAAACTATGTGCAAAGATCCTCTCTCCATGCCCCTTTGTCCAAATCAACAGTAGATCCAGACCTTTTCTCCCAACTCCCCTTTGCTTTGTTGAGACATTTGCAAAAAAACACAGAAATTCCTCATTTGTTTTTTCCTTTCACAATAGCTCCAAGGCTGCTCGTGGAAAGCCTGTGGTTGGTGGCCGATGGAAGTGAAATGTGTGTCCTGTCTAGACTCTGAAGACAGCCAATCATTACATTTGATCCACTCTCGCAGTCTATGTGGTCCAAATAAATGCACCAACTTGTTTAGATTTTCCAGAACAAGCTTCTTTCTAAAGGCCTCACTTTATAACTGCACAGCCCCAGCACCGCACGATGGAAATGGACAGATTATTTGTCACTCAAGTTAATAAATTTGTGTCTGTAAATAAAGCAAATCAAAAAGCAATAATTATTTTCTTTGCCTAATTTTATCATTTGCTTTTTATTGTGTAATTTTACAATTATTGTGTAATTTTACAATCTCAAATAGAAAGGAACAGACTTCTTTTAATACTGGCCTTCTTCATATATTGCTAAGAGAACATACCTTTAAAAAAGTCATTCCAGCTTGGAAATTTATTGCTATTAATGATTTTGTTATTGGAAGAAGTCCATTTATCCTGTTAAGAAACCTACTTGAGTGGTCACCCAGCTTTGAAAGCATTAGTATGGGCTGATTGTTCTTATGCAACACTCTCAA